TAAAAGAACAAAACCCAAAGTGAAATTACACTGGTAAATTATGAGCCAACCTGCATCTGGAGACTTGTGGCTTTCACACACACACTCTCTCTCTCTCTACCTTTGGAAAAGATACTATAGTCAAATGTGGGTTTCAAGCAAAACATTATCCTCAAGAAAAAAAATTTAGGTTTCTTTATCACTGCCTCACATATCCCATTTTATTAGCATCTGTTATTTTCTCTTCAAACCATGTGATAGTGGCCGACAATCTTATTATGGTCCATCTATATTTCTAGAGATCTGGCGTGCAATCTTCCATTTGTTACAGGAGCCTTTATAACTGACAGCTGCTCTTTCCAGACAGATGCTGTCTCAGTAATCTCTATTTGCTGTCACACCTTAGTTTGCCCTTCTCACCTCGTGATCTTCCGTGCTGGGCTGTGGACCAGTTGGATATACTTTTGTTTTCCCAACATTAATGGAAAGTGTCCGCCTGCCCAAATCAGAGTAACTAACCTGGATCCTAATGCTAGATTTATCCTTATAACATCTTTAACTTCACATGCCAAGGTGGGTTCTATAATGAGAAGTTTCTGATAACATAAAAATACTGTGAGGAAAAAAAAATAAACAAGCTGTTGTTCTCTGCCTACCCAATACAGGGGACCAGATGTACAATAAGATCCCATGTTCCATAATTATTTGACAAACAGAGAATACAAGACAATTAAAGAAATTTTCCATTTGCTACAATAACTATACTAAGAGGAAAGAGGAGTGTAGTAAATGTTGTCTACTGAATGGCAGGTGGTGGATGAAAAATTAATAGTTTACCTTTGGTGGACAAAGAAATGGAAGTAAAGCAGAGTCTGACAAACCCAAAAGGTCATTTTCAGCTCAATTTCTTTCACATAGGAAAGCAATGCTGGTAACATTCAGAACTGGCTGTATTTCTCAAATATTTGTTCCTTTTTCTAGCTCTTCTTAGGGGATGAACAGGGTAGGCCCTAGCAAAACAATCCATGATTTTAATTGCATAGCCTTTCTCTCTAAGAAGGGAAACCTGAGTGTACCCTGGATTATCCAGGCCACACTCTGAGACTGCTTGTATTCACTTGTAGTGAGGTTTACATGTAAAATGGTTTTTAGGCAATATAACTACATGGCAACTAGCCATGCTTTCTCTGTCACTCTATTTGAAGGATCTTGATAAACCTGCAGCTCAGAATGACTGAACAAGAGGGCAAAGAATTCCTCCAGATATCGTTCTCTCATCTGCTTCATACAGAGCCAAAGGACACCCCAGATGTAAGAGTCAGGAGATTATGCAACTACCCCCTTCTTTTACACTGCAGGACACCAGAGATCCAGCCAAGATCACACAGCTTATGGTAAAAATAGCAACCAATATGTCCCATCTAGGGTTCTTTCAAGTGCCACATAGTGGGAAGTAAAGGAAAGAAACTGCAGCTTAGCATGTCTAGCCCAGGGTCAAAAGTAAAGACTAAAAAGAACTGAGCAGACATTTTCTCCCGATCTCCTCACTCCAGCCAGGAACACATTAACAGACACTCCATTAAATAAATTCCTTCTTTACCCTAAAACGAACCAAATCTACCTGGCTTCCTAAAATATCTGCTGACAATTCTCATTTCAAAAGTTGATATGAGTGGCTGTCACATGGTATTATGGCTAGAATAATAGAACTGTTGTTTCTCTTCTCAAAACATGGACAAGTTTAAAAGAGAATACTGTTACTTGAGAAAGGTAACTAAATTATTCTAACTTTTCCATGTAGCTCACTGAAAACAGTTCCTGAGTAGAGAGCAGTAGAGACAGGTGAGAGGCACCAGCACCATTCAGGTCACTGATTCCTCTGTAATCATCTAGAAAAGCGGGACTCTCCATAGACACAAAAGTAAACACAAATACCTCCCCAAACATATAGGTCTCCTTCACAGACATTAAGAATAGCATAGATACAGTTCTCAATTGCTACCTTCTACGATCACAACTCCTGTTTAGAACAAGCCCTTACCACGAGGCACTGGGACCTCTCACCCCTATCACACCTGATTCCAGTCAGATTCACTCAAGGAGCAGTTCTTTTTACAGATGGGGTTGAATAAGCAAAGACAGGCTAACCAAACTCAGATTTGAGGTGATCAACAGCAGAATGACTTTCAATGGGAAAAAGGTAAGAATAATATAACATTTGTATGCTAACAAAAGTAATGAAAATGGAAAGGACTTCATTTATAACAATTTTTTTCCTATGATTAAAAGGACACTAAATAATAATTGCTTCCAAACGTTTGGCTGCTATTAACACGTCCATGCTAATAACTCTAGATTCTAAAAGAAAATTTGGAGGGATTTAGGAAAGGATTAAGATAATAAAATTCATTATTCTTTTTATATACAGATGGATTGAAAGATAAGAGTAAGCCGACAAACTGTAAAAAATATTCACCTTAAAGTGATTTCTATTATAAAAATTCATTACATTCCTTAGTTTCTTATTTTAGGGCTTAAAAGTAATATGATACAAAGATGAAAAGTTATTCTTCCATAATTTAAAGCAACATAACTACAAAATAGGGGCTCTTTTTCTATGTCGTCTATTGGGCTTCATAATCAACATTATTTCATGCCACATTCCTGGAACTAAGCATTTCATCTGGCACATTACATGTGGGTAAATGTACCTTCCTTGGTCATAGTCAGGAAGAACATATTTTTAACCTAAGTGGAAACACAGTTTTCAGAAATGTGCATTAACTGATTTGTAACACAGGCACATACATCTGAATTTCTAATATACTCAATATTAAGAAGTGCAGCAAGAATTGCAGAACATAAACTTTAAGTTCAGAAATAAATTTCTGTGTTAATGCACAGGAAATTAAAATTAAGTGCTAAAGAAGGTAAAAGATGTGCCTGTGTGTGTCTGCAAATAAATATCCAAGTTACATTTGGTAAAACTCTGAGAAGCACTGCATAGTTAATGTAATGCATGACCTATATTTTGACTTGTAGTTTTTGCATTTCCTGGAAAGCAGTCTGCTTTTTAAGGGCCTGGAACTTAAAAAAAGAATTACCGTTAGAAAGCCAGAAATTAAAAGCATGCACATGAGTATATTACAGTTTTTAAAATTTGAAAGTATTGGCATCTCTATAATAGGCTACAACAATCCCAGAATCAGTATTAAAATAAATAAGAAAACCCACAATCAAAGAAAATTAATTAAAAAAAAACACACAATGCGAAGGAAAATATTCTACAAATTATCTTATTCAGAATCTAATCCTCAAATGATGTAATGACATAGAATGTATTCATGTAATTCCTTCAAATATTTAAAATGTTTTACTAACATATAACATTATGTATTATAATTGAATACTTCATATATGTCCTATGATTTTTATCACAGACCTTACACATATGCTATCCAAGTATTAAAAATTCAATATAACATCACATATACAAGTATAACTTTACTTGACCAAAAGGAAATGGTAAATGTATTGTAGTATATATTTGTAATGTAATAGCAAATTAACATAATATAAATATAAAATAAAATATAGGTTCAAAAAAATTGATCCTTACCATGGGTGATATACTCTGAGAACTGCAGCCACTTCTGCCTTGATATGGATGCATATAATTCTGGTACAGCTGCATGCCATACTGCAAAATAAATAAACAAAAACATAATGCTACAACTTTTACTTTACAACACTGGTAATTCAATTAAAATATTCTTTCATTAATCATATGTTATCAGTATAAAAATTAATTTTGTGATTTTCCTTCAAACAGATAAGTAAAGCAACCAAAATTTTGACAGAAAATCTTTTAATGCCCTTGAACGATGCATTTAAAAAGATATGTTTTTTAATTCGTTTGTTTTACTGAGGCTCCCAAATTAAGGTCTTGCTCACCAGTATTACTTTATACTGGTATTACTTTATACTGAGACTTACATTTCTACTTACATACTTACATACTTTGCAGCAAAATCATTTGGACTGGTACCTTGTCTCATGAAAAGATAGCTCACTTGGGAAAGGTGTCATGCAGTACATTCCAAAGATTTAACAAACCTCACATATGTCCTAAGCAACACTGTAAAATTCACTGTCATTCTGATGATTGATGAATTAATTTGTCCCTTTGGTAAAACTATAAATTGGGCCCTATCTGGAAAATTCTTGTCACTATATCATTCTTGGTTAAATATTCTTATAACCAAGAATAATTATTCTCATAATAATTTTGGGTTTCACGTTCAGAAAACCAAAACAGTGAGGAGTCCAGCTGATTTCAGAGTTTCAAAATACAATGTAGCAGATTAGAAATGTGGGGTCTTCACTTGTAGGAGGCAGCATCTTACAGACTGAGCCAGCTGGCCATAATGGGAAAGTAGGTCTGAATTCTAATGGGATTATTAGTTTGAGACAAATTAAGACTGCTAACTGCCATGAGCAAACTTGTCCTGAGGAATCCTCATCTGAATCTGGAAATTACCCCTTTAGATTTAAGCTATTTTGTTGAGGCGGGGGAGCAATTATATTGGCAGCTTTTAAATTATTTGTATTTATATATATTTATTGACATTTGGCTACACTCCACAATTCTTTCCATTTCATGAAGACATAATGAACTTCATGTTAGGTCTCAGTGGCCCTGTTCCATCTACTGCCTCCACCTTCGTGGTGCTGGCCTTTGGCAGGGTGGTCACTGTGTTCTATCACCTCAAGGCCCCAGCAGCACCTGAGCCAGCAGGTGCTGGGTCTTAAATGGGCCTGACAGTGGAAGCAGATTTGGAAGGTTAGGAGGATAACTTTGATGAAGAATGTGCTGCCATTGATCCCATATTGGCCCTGATGAACTATCTTTACCACCTGGAGGACAATGACCATCTTCATGCCTGCCTCCAGAGCTGCCAGAATCCAGCTGATAAGTAAGACTACAATTCAGTGGCAGGTCTAAAAGGCCCCTAAAGGTGCCAGACCTTAGGTTCTTCAAAACCCCAACCAGCCACAACACTGCTTCCTGGGGTCAGGGAAGGCACCACCACCTAGCTCAAGGTTTCCCCGTGGGTTTACCTGCCTATGCCACCCTTCTGGCACCTCCCTTTGGTCCACCTGGGCCAGCCCCTACTGACCTGCATCCCCTCTGGCACCAGTTATGGGTCTGTGACCCACATACCTGTCTATACAACTTATGAGCAACACTTACTCTGCCCAGTACTTGAGTGTCTACCTTAAATGGGCTTCCTTCATGCACCCACACACGTGCACAGACACACACACTCACAGACATGCATGAGTGCGCGCGCGCACACACACACACACACACACACACACACACACACACACAAACGAAGAGTATTATATAGAAAATATTGAACGATACCATGAAATCAAATCTTACCCATAGGATAAATTCCATAGAAACAGTTCAACAGTGCTATTTCTCTACTAGTTCCTTGATACCAATTCTAGCAAAGTGGATATATTTGGTAATTAGGAAAACAAACAAACAAACAAAAACTGGGAGGAGGGGATTAAGAGAATCATTATTTCAAGATTTTGCTTCTAACATGAATACAAACCCACATTCATTTAAAATTCCCTGTGCTTACTTCTTTATCCAATTATTTCCCAACTTCTAAAAATTATTTTTTAATTCAAGGTTTGAATGACATTAATAGGACCTAATGAAATTCACTTTAAATCAACTCTAAGCCTACAATAACTTTAAGAAGAAGACAGAAGAGCTTAATTCCTAGTCAAGTTCATTATGAAGTATAGATAATAACCTCAAACCAGCACTTTCACAAGGAACATGATGATTGGCCACCTTCTTCATTGAAAAACCTGCTACCTACTAATAAGATGGTTATCTTCCTAGATGTATTGTTCCTGACACCTGCAAGGGTTAGGTAGGTACCTAGGAGCCATTGAAGACCTTTAGTAGGCATTTAACTCTTGTCAAGGGTAGTCATGGGCCAACTTTAACATTTCTCTGTCCTATGGAGGGGCAGATAAAAGAATGAAATACCACAACAGAGAAGCCGTCAGAGTTCTAACTGAAGAAAGAGAAAGAGAGAATATGTAACTGGGATACTCTGTGTGAGCAATCCACTTTGCTAAGTCTTCGATGTTCTACAATTCTATATGTAACTAGAATTTCTCCAAAGAGAGGCCTGATCTGTTAATATTCAAATGTATGACAGACTGTGTCACTTTCAAGTCTGGTTTCTCATACAGGTTAAAGGTACTCCTGGATTGTTCGCCTCCTTTTCTGGCATCATCTGGAAAAGTTTTGTCATTGAAATAAACAGGGAACACTGATATGATAGGTAGAATAACCATCCCAGAAACATATCCACATCCTAATCCCTGAAACCTGTGAATTCGTTAGGCTACATGGCAAAAGGAAACTGAGGTTGCTAGCCAGCTGACTGTGGGATGGGGGTGATCCTGGCTTCTCCACGTGCACCCAAGGCAATCACCAGGAGCTTATAAGTGGAAGAGAAAGGCAGAAGGGACAGAGCTAGGGAGTTGGTAGCATGGGAAGGACTTGGTGTGATACTACTGTCTTTGAAAGTGGAGGAATAGCCACCAGCCAAGGTGTATGTGTGGCCTCACAAGGCTGGAAAGGACAAGGGAAGTGGTTTCTCCCCTGAAGACTCCAGAATGCAGGCAGCCCTGCCAAACCTTGACTGTGACCTAGTAAGACTCATTCTGGACTTTAACTAAAAGAGTACAGGATAGGTGGGAGGAGTGTCACATGCCTACAATCCCAGTAACTAGGGAGGCTGAGACAGGAGGATCACAAGTTTGAGGCCAGCCTGAGCAACTTAGCAAAATGCTTGACCAAAATAAAACATAAAAATGTGGGGGTATAGCTTAGCAGTAGATTGCCAAGTTCATTCCCCAATACTGTCAAAAAGAAAAAGAAAAAAAGTATATAGGATAATAAGTTTGTGTTATTTTAAGTCTCTAAATTGGTGGTAATTTACTATACCAGCTATAGAAATCTAACACAATGAAGCATCTTTGAACTGGAAATCTGACTTGAAAGGGTCTTTGAGAATAATCAGATGAGGCGAAAAAGCAAGAAGGGAACAATCTTCCCATCGCAAAAATGGAAGAATTAAAGAAATTTTTTGGCATATTTCATTGATTCTTGCACTTGCATTTCAAAATATAACATTTGTCTCTCCAAAGATGGCACGGAGCCAGACATTGTGTGGAAAGTAACAGGTATCCATGACTCTGAGATGAAAATGATTCAGGAAAGCCAGACTTGGAACAGGAAGAAGTTTTATAGATATCTTGACTAATTTATTTCATTTATCATTTCATATATACATATACACATATACATATATCAATGTCTACATATATAGACATATGTACATGTATATGTAAGTAAGTCTGTGCATGCAAAAGTGAAATATGGCAAATTTCTATTTAAGTCTAAATAAGTCTATAATAACTATTTAAATAAAAGTAAAACAAATGGCAAAAGTGATGTGAAAGTCACCTGTCATAATTATATTGGCATCATTTTTTTAATTTTTTGTAATATCACAAAGTGTATCCTTGTAAAATCAATGGCACCTGAGATTCTCTGAGATACTGCTTAATGGGTACATTTTGTGGTGATGAAAATGTTTTTGAATTATGTGGAAGTGATGGTTGCACACTTTGAATGCACTAAATGTCAATGAATTGTTCACATTAAAAATAGTTTGATTAATTTTTAATATCAGAATTTTACCTCAACTTAAAAAATTTTTCAAAATAAAAAATAAAAATTTCCTCCAAAGCTAGTCTGATCACTAATCTGATTATGATTGTTCTATCCTTCTTTACCCTGATCTCTCTCTTACCCAGGATGCTAGTAATGATTTGAAGAGCTACCAAGTGGCAAATATGGAAATGGCAGCAGAAAAACTTCTAGTTCCAAAGTGGACCTAGAAAATACATAAGCTGAGAACTCAGTTATGAAGTGAAGTGTACACTCTTCAGCCTAACGAAAGGACAGAACCCAGGGATTCTACAAGACTCCATTTCTCTGATGTTAACTTCTAAATATATCAAAAAGCTAGTTTCAGTACACATACTGTTAATAATCTAAATCTTTATGTAGTAATAAATGAATCATATATATATACTATGCATAGAATGTGAAATCTATAAGTTAATAAATTATATTAGTGATCAGGCATGAATTATAAAGAATATCTGGGTAAATGTTGAAGCTTCTATTTTAAACAAAGGATTAAGAAAAATAGTAATTTGTATACTTTGTCAACTTTGGCAGTAAATGATATATAAATAAAGTTAACAGACATACTCTTTGTATTTTACTTTTTCAAAAAAAAAATTCATGATTTTTACCCCAATTGTGATTATCAAAGTAATGTCTTTATAAGGAAATGGGTGATTAATTTTATAACTGTAAAGTTGTGTAAATTTACTGGCATGTAAATTGAATAAACATGTGCTTTCAATACATTCTGAAAGAAATCAGTTCTATATCTCTTTTCTACATGTATCTACTTTTAGAAAGTTCTCACTCATTTCCAATTGCTCATCAACAAATTATGCTTATGGAAGTTGTAATTTCCATTTAACACCCAAGTGGATGATTTTAAAGTATGCTCATAGGAAAATTATACAATTTTTTTGATGTTCTACTAGAAGTAAGTTGTAATTCTTAAGCTAGAATGTAATTTATAAAACACTTAAATGGAACATAAAACAATCGCATGAAACATATCCAGGCAGACACGTTTTAAACACACTTCACACTGAATTGTAAGCAATGCTTTATAAACGTAGACTAAGTTGTATATAAGAGACATCCATTCAGTTATACTGGCTATGGATATAATACTCTTGAAAAAATAAAAAATAAAAATCAGAGAATTTCTAGAAACAGAATATTACTTCTTAAACAAAAGATAAAGTGTTAGCCCATTCCACTTTACTCAGCAAATGTTTATCTTTTAGATTAAAAACTACATGCATTTGGTGGTGGCTATTTTTCTTCTTTCTCATGTAGCCACAAAGATTCATATTAGGATTCACTCTTCTTTGCATTTTCAACTACAGATATTTTCAAACTTTTATGGTACTCACAGCATTTAATAGAAATTCATGCCTCCAGTGAGATTACCTTAAGCAATCTAATCGCGGTCACCCAGCACGTCCTACTCTGCTCTTCTTCTGCACAGAGCATTTTCAGGTCTCGGGGCCCTCCTGCTTTGTTAGGCTAGAAGGCCACAGCACATTGTTTATCGTTAATGCATATCTTGAAGGTAACACCTGTTGAAATAAAAGCCACTAAAATTCTCCTATATATAAGAGAAAGCTGTCTCTTTTTTTTAAAAGAAATTAAAAGAAACTCAAGCTTACCTAAAAGGCTGAGGCTTGCTTTATTGATCTATCAAAATATTAAGCCTGTACCTTAAAGCAGAATCCATAGTTAGTCGGTGCTCCGTGTTTTTTTTTGCCTGCCAGTGACACATAAATATCACTAGTGCCGAATTCGCTGAAAAACTGCAAATGCCGTGGTTCCTTAAAAAATACATAGGAGTGTTGAAATGGATAGATGTTTTGCAATATTTCTTTTTGTATGTTTATAATGTTACATAGTGTATTCCTTGAGCAAACATTACCTAAATACAATTTCAATATAATATGACAAAAAGAAAAGAAATTTTTTTAAAAAAAACCTATGTCACTACACCCTTATATAATCAGGAACTTGATACAGTTTTATTAAAATTGACAAATGACAATTTCTTTATAATGTAACACACGCATATGTGCGGGCATACACACACACATTCTATATTAAACTCTCTATTCTCTTTATTCATCATTTCCAGGATTCAGAGAGAGAAGATAGGAAACAATGACTTTTCAACACATTTCCCTAAATCCAGGTTTCAAATTATGGTATCTCCATAAAGGAAAGAAGGTTGGTTTGAGCTTCTGTAGAGTTAGGAAAAAGGTGGAAGAGACCATGTTTCCTGCTTCATTAGGCTACAACCACGCCTCATAGTTGTGTACTACGTAATACACCACACCGCAGGAAACAACCAGAAGGGTTGTGTGACTATCTTGCTTTACAAGAAGGAAACTCGTATGGCTGAGCTCAGGGAAATTATCTGGCAGTGGACTGTGTCTGATTTTCAAGGCAAAGTGGAAACATGAACAGCTATTTCTTCTCTGGGAAATCTATGAGATTTAGAGCTGGTCATGGGAAATCACTGGGTCATATTATTCTGTGATAGGTTAATAACTTGGAGAAGTACTTAATTCTGAGGTTCAATGTATAATCAAAATTGGACAAAATGCATCTGTTCTCTAAAACTTTGCCATTAGCAGTATGGTCTCAGACCAGGAAAATCTTTATCCTCTAGGATCTTTTTGAAAATGCAAATTATCAGGCCCCACCCCAGACCTAGTGAATCAATATCTGCATTTTAACAAGATCCCACTGATCCCATATGCACTAAATTTTAGTAGCAGTGTGTTGGGGGGCGTGCACACACACACACACACACACACACACACACACAGAATGAGAGAGAAAACATTCAGCAATATTAGCAACCTTATCCAAAGACAAAGAAATTTCATTGTCATTTATAAATAGGCTTTCCCAACTATGACAACTAGTAGAGCAAGAATTTATCTGTATGTCTCTGTTCTTAAGCATTTTAATTTAATGAATGACCATAGTTCTTAAGACTATTGATGAATAAGACAGAAAAGAAAATAACAAAGATCTAGCATAGGGCCAATGGAAAAAATGGAGAAGGAAGGAAAAATGTACTCTTACTGTTATATTTTTAAAAATATATATTCCTTGATAGACACTGATTTGATAATAAAATGTCTGATTTATATGAACATGGGATAAAACCATCCCTGTCCAGTGATGCTGTAGAAGTCAATATAACTCAATCATTCAAATGAAAGGAAAACGAAGCTTGAGAAACACTGGAAGGCAGTAAGAAGCATGTTGAGTCTTTTGTCTAGACCAATTTTTGTTCTTTTATGTAAGGCATAACACTACAAGCCTGGGTTGGCATGGTTAGCAGTACCTAAACATGTATGTGAGGGTATAAGGGAAGAGATGGAAAGATAGGTAGAGATTTCTCTGCAAATCTAAGTTACAGGTACATCTCCAACACTTACATTAGAGGTTATTAACTCCCAAACAGCTGTTACATCTTTACAAAGTGAAATCCAATCAAACCTCCTCCTCCAGAAGGACAGGACACAGCCTCCATACCAGGTAAAAATGTTATATTTGACTTTAGATAATCTGCACATTTTGTATCACAATCACTGAAGAGATCTAACATCCTCACATTTTTCCTTTGGCAGAGAACATAAAGTCATTTCCATATATCGACTGAAACATGAGCTAATTAAAAGAATATTATGTACTGATGGATAGCAAAGTCAGACCCTGAATCTGGTAGAAGGAATACGGCCTGTTCTGTTATATAATTAATGAGTGGGAGGGAAAGGAAATGAAGAGTAAAGTGAAAATAAAATGGGCTGTGGGTTTTAATGAGAAACCTGTTGAAGAAGTAAGAATATAGGAGTTAAGGAGACATTATCACATCTTCCAGTCAAGGATTACTGGGGTAAGAATGAGATAAACATGATTGACTGGATTGAGAAGCCATTTCTCTCAGTCTCTCCTTCTTCCTCTTTTGCAAAACTAAGGATTGAACCCAGGGCCTCATGCATGTTGAGCAAGTGCTCTTCCCCTGAGCTACAGGTCCAGCTCTAGAAGCCATTGTTCTCATAAGTTAAAAGTAAAACATTAATCCCAGCACACATTTGTCTAAAATATACCTGTTATGTTACTGTATATATTAGGAACATTTATGAAAACAGCAACCTCATTGAAATGGTAAGACGGAGCTTAAAACCTTAATAATAAAAGTAGACAGTTATTCATCCTAACATTATAATGGAACAATTTGTAAACTAGTTTAAAAATGCCCAAGAAAAGATAATCACAGAATAATGGCTTCATCCTTCTAGAACTAAGATTACTTTTTCTTAGAGAGTGAGTTCTAATGATTTGTTTTTTATTGATTTTATTCCTTTCTTTATCTCTTTCTCCAGGAACATTTCTCTAGGAACATTATTAACTGCTTCCTCTTCTTTCATATCAGCCTGGCCATGTGCCATTTAATCTGGCAGCCATTCCTCTCTTCTCCCCAGTGAAGTCTATCCCAGGTCAGATTCCACCACCTCCACCCTGGATTACTGAAATGATCTTCTAATTAGTATTCACACCTCTGGTCAATTTCTCTTTCCCTCTTTCCTCCAATACTTCCTCATTGCCTCCCCTGTTTTTGACCCCTGTTTTTCTCTCTCCCTCTATCACTTTCTCTTCTTGATATCTTAAACTCCTCTCTGTGCCTATCTTAATCTTCTTAAGATACTCATTTGATCATTTCTCTCCCTTGTTAATGCAATTTCAATGGCTTTCGGTGGTGGGTTGAATGGTGGCCCTCCTGCCCCAAAAGAAATGTTCATATCCTAACCCTGGAAACTTTGAATGGGATCTTCTTTGGGGAAAAAATAAAAAAAATAAATAGTCTTTGGAGATGTGGTTAAGATAATGATCTCGAGATAAGATCATTCTAGATGATTCAGGTGGGCTTTAAACATAACTAGTATCCTTATAAGAGATACAAAAAATTAAAGAGAAGGCCTAGTAAAGACAAAGGCAGAGATTAGAGTTAGCCACAAGCCAAGGTATATCTGGAGTTACAACTGGACAAGACTAAGAATTTAAAATGTCAAATGACGAGAATGGGGAAAAATTTTTGTCAAATAAACAATAAATGAACATCACCAGTACAAAAGAAGAATATGAGTTTGCAGATTGCATGGTTATGCAGACAATCAGGCAAGACTTAACAGACTTATTTAACAGACCTAAAAATACAACAGGGGAAATCGCCGAACACAAATAATTATAAGAATAATCATTTCAGAGAAATGACAGTTCATCCATAAAGAAGGAACAGCGTTGTCACTGACAATAACAAATTCATGAATACAAAATTAAAATACCCTCTTATGAAAATCTTCAAAGGAATATTACTTGAAAAATATCAATGCATTGCACAAAATATCAACACTTATAAACCACAGACTATTAGGGGTCATAGACTATACACAGAAACATAAAATAGATAGTGCTAAAAGCTATGGAATATACAGGTCAAAGAGACCATATGTGTGGGTGTGAATATCTCCACATGTATATCTATGTAATGGTGTGTGTAGGTCCAAACATACCAACAAACAAACACATCTATTCTTCCCTGATCATAACATCATAAATTCCTGTAGGAATTTATCATCTAGGTAAGGAAAGACAACAGCACACACAAAATAACTAAATAGTAATAAAGGACTCAGATGGGTGTTACTAACTGTTCTGTTGATGTTGATGAAGAGAAGGTCAGAAGTGAGCAAGACCAGTCTTATGACTGGGATATATGGAAAATTGTAGCTGGGCACAGTGGCACACTCCTGGAATCCCAGCAATCTGGGAGGCTGAGGCAGGAAAATTCCAAATTCAAGACCACCTTCAACAACTTAGCAAGACCCTATTCCCTCCCAAAAATATGAAACTGACTGTGGATGTAGCTCAGTGGTACTGAAGATTGAACACTCAATCTTCAGTACCAAAAAGAAAGAAAAAAGGGTGGAGGTGCAGGGAGAAAATTAAAGGTATAATCTATGTTGAACCTCAAAGCCTTCAGCCTTAGATAAAGAGAAAGGAGTAAACTCGGGTGGGGAAAAATGAACAACATATGTAGTACAGAAATAAGAGCAAACAGATATCCTCAAAGATATATAGAAACTAGTGTGAAATAAAACTGAACAATTTTTAAACAGATCATGATAAATCTTTAGAATACAAAAAAAGTCACTACCTCCTGATATCAAGAATAAAGTCATAAATATAACAAAGTAAAAAGTCTGTTTTAATTTACAGCTAATAATCTTACATAACATATCACAGATACTTAATTTACCTTTGATGTTCCTTTAGTAGAAAAATATAAACCAGATCTTCTTAGAAGGAAGTAAATTTTTTTCCAGGACTTCTTTCCCTGTTCTTTCGCATGTAAGAAGCCATGGATTTCAGGATATGTGCTTGAACTTAGAAACATCTGGAAGAAAAATTAGACTGTCTCCTAATATTATGGAAACAATGATTTTGTAGGCTTTCACCAATCAAATGTAAGAATGAAAAACTAAACAATATCAATATCAAACATCAAAATTATAAACTAGTTGATTGTCTATTTGTAAAGCTGGATATCATCTATAGGGTGAAGTCCTATACTTCTCATCCTTTCCCATGTTTTTCTTTTGTGTGTGTGTGTGTGTGTGTGTGTGTGTGTGAGACAGTTGACAGGTTCACCTATCGATTTCCTTGTGTTATACCATAGAAGACCACAATCCTGACTTCAATTATTAAAGACAAGAAGTTGAGCCAAGTTCACTTTGCTGATGAGAGTATACAATCTCTTATCTTCCACAGTTCTGTCATGGGACAGTATGGCAGGCTGGGTTTTTTCCAAAGAGGACTACAACCACATTTCCCATCCCACGTGTCCTTCTGCAATGGCATCTTGGCTTTAAACCATGAAAAGGCAGAGTTTGTTTCTCCGTCCACCCTGAATCAGTGTAAGCCTGTCACTGCTTGGACCAAAATAAAATTGTACAAGTAACCCTTTGCCAGTTCTAGATATGTCCTAGCCTGATGGCTTTCAAATCAACTTGACTTCTGCAAGTCAGATGCCACACAGGAAATGTGATTATCCGGAAACCCCATGGGTGAGAAGCCCAGTGAAATTGGAGAAGCTCTGGAGGACGAAACACCACACAGAAGGAGAAAGAGAGGACAGGAGTTGAGTGTCACAGCATGTGTAGTAAAAGGGAGAGCTTAGAAGGGGACCTTGAATCTTCTCTAACCACTGAGTCAAAGTGCTTCAGAGACAAGCAAACTCTTCTTAAATTCCTGCCCCTCAAAATGGTTGGCAAAATGCAGGTGGGTCCTTTAAACCATTAAGGTTTGGAAGACTGTGTTATACAGTAGTAATTAACTGAGATGGGGGCACACATTGGTCAGGGAAAGGAGAATGGAAGGGAGTCACTCTGTGTGCGTGACCATGCTCAGTGTCCTTAATAAGACACTGGAAGTGCATTAGTGTCTCATTAAAAGAAGAAAATAGAAATCCCTATGAATAAACAAATGGAAGAACTGAAAGTAAGAGAAATTATTAACTAAAACAATGTACTTTATTTTTAAAGGCTATTCAGGGAAATGCCAATAGTACATATTTACATTTTTTAAAGTAATTTACTAAAAAATTTTTAATTTAATGAGCCACAGATATTAATTAATTGACATGCAAAACAGGCAAGTAGGTTTTTTAGTTTGAGTGCTTTCCAAGTTATTAAACCAAACCAATTAAATTTTAAAAAGAGAGTCATGGAGGTCACACTAGAAAAAGAAGAAACCTTTTAAAAAGTGGAAACATTGCCTCAGTGGAGAGAAGAGGTCAGGGGCACATGCAGGACTATCTAATTCCAAAGCCTACAATTTTTCTTGTTTTTATAATTTAGCATTAAAGCAATATAACTATGTTAGAGGAGGATTTGGGAAAGGAGATAGAAGAAAACCTCTACCCCACCACCGAGTCACAATACAATGATGAAGCCTGCAGGGAGCTGAGAGTTGGGAGTCCTGAGGTTGTCATTTACCCTAACATTCAGATGGGTGGGGGTCGCTTTGTGAAACCCAGCGGCATAGAAGCATCCTTCAGAAAAGCATCTGGGGATTAATCATATTTCTAAAATATTCTGAAGCATGAAAATAAAGAATGCCATATTGAAAAGCCCACAGGAAACAAATCTATGGTAGATATGCCTGACTAATATATTAAAATCATATTGTATTGGAAATATTAAAAGTTATCTTTATGAAATACCAGAGAATACTGAGTGAGTTCAGGAATGCCTAGAGCTTAGCTTCAATCATTATGAAGACACAGCTCAATATTAACCTGTGAAAAACAACTGGAGAGCTTCTGATACCAAATCTACCAATCTATAAAAATTAAAATAAACTGTTCATTTATTGTAATGACAATATCTTAGGAAAATGTCCCCTCAAATAACTGCTAGTTTGGAAGAAATGAATCTAACAGACACAAAAGTAAGGATATTTTTAATTGGATAACCAGCATTCATGATTCAGCTAAGAATATCTTACAATTCTATGCCAATATTTCTGTCACAGCTATTACAGATGTTGGTATATGAAACAGATATATCTGTATATCCCTCCATTCATTTAATTGCTAAGTATTTTATCACAAATAGAATTGAAGGTGTTTATTATGAATGCTAATACTATGTATCTATTGATAAAATGTCTTCAATTTACTGAAAATTTCGATTTTTCAAAAGAATAACATAACCCATACACACATCACAAAGCAAAACTCTAAAGTTTCCTTTCATAGCATACATTTTTAAATGTTTAAAATCCTTTGCAACTGGCCAGAACTGGGAAGAAAAATATTTTTAGGGGGATCTATTGATTCAGGGTATTCTTTACCCAGCTTTTTGTTTGGTTTGTTCTTTGTTTGTTTGGTTAGTTGGTTAGCTTTTTGCCTCCCCCCCCCCAAAAAAAAATTAAACATTCAAGTCTACATGTCAAAATGTGAGCATGCTTTATAAGGACCTAAAAGTTTCCCATTATTATGCGATTTTTTTACATATTTTAATGGAAATATATATTTACCTGTAAAATTTGTGTTGGGGATATTTCACCGTTGGTTTCAGTTGCAAAAGATACCATATGCTCTGGAAAAAAATACTGACAAAAAATAAAGGTTAAATTATCACTAAACCCATGAGAGAAAAGTTTCGATTATGACCAGTATAGAAATCTAAAGCAGAAGATCCTTAAGCCAATGTATCTAAAATCCACATTGAGTGCTTCTGAAAATGCTGGTCCTTGGACTGGACCCTCAGGCATCTTCCCAGGTAGAGCTGGGCCCAGATGACAATGATGCAGAGAGATGCTCCGACCTGGAGTCATAGGACACTGCCCTCAGGTTGACAATGAGCTTGTTCCCACATCTCTTCCTCAAGTCCTCCAACTACTCTACCAGGTACGAAAAGACTACTGACACATTTTACAAAATCAAGGCTCACAGAAGTCAAGGGCAAAGGCTGTACCCAGGTTCACAGTCAAGAACATAGAGAAACCAGGACTCAGTGTGGGAAGTAAAAGTCCAATTCTTTCCACCTACTGTTTTTCCAAACTTGTTTAATCATAAAATTCACCCACGGCAGTTGTTTAAAATAGGAATTCCCAGACCTCATTCCTGGAGTTTCTGATTCAGTAGGTCTGGCCAGGTCTTGGAGTCTGTGTTTTTAATAAGTACTGGGACTCCCTTAGGTAAATTTTATGATCAGACAAGTTTGGAAAAATATATTCTACTATATTTCCTCTAGGACAGGGTTTTTCAACAGCAGTTCTACTAACATTTTGTCTAATAATCCTGTGTTGTGGGGCTGTCCTGAGCCTTAGAGGATGTTCAGCAGAATTCTAACTTTGCCCACTTTGGCACTGTTCCTGCTGACCCCCACCCCACCCCCAGTCCTACAACCAAAACTGTATCCAGATATTGTCGGATCACCCAGTTGAACCATTGGCTCCAACTATACAAAGTGAATGTCTTGTCTTATTTAAATTACAAATAATAATAATAATAATAATAAAACAGAAATGAGCACTAAACCATATTTCTTTAAATACAACTTTTAAATTCTAGCTTTTAATAAAGATTTGCAACAAGAAAACTCTTTCCCTTCAAATCTATTTAATTTTTATTAGAACTCTTATTTTCTTTGTCAAAGATCATCCCATTATGTTTCTATTAATAGGTTAAAATAAAAGAGAATGTAAGAGGTCTTTCAGGGTTTGAAAATATTCTATTATGGTGTGTATCATATATTTTTCATAAAGGATCATTTCAATCCAATTATCCAAAACTTAGTGTAAAAATATGCTACTGCTGCAGAGACAAAAACAATTTAAAATAATGAGCCCAGAGGCTATTCTGACTTCTCTAGATCCCTAGTCTTCATTAGAATGTGACATACATTTATTTTCTTTTAAAGAGAATTATAATGAAAGTAGTATTTGCTAGATAATATGCTACTCTTTATCTCATTTCTATTTAGCTCAAAAATTATTTCACTAAAACCAAAATAATTTGAAGCATCAAGATTCATGTCAATCTTAAATTTTTGGCTAAGCTACACATTCCCAATGATTACCAATCTATTTTTGTTTTAGAAAGTTTCTTACTTAAGTTTCCTAAATAGTGTGAAAAAAAATTAAACTACATTTTGGAATACATTTGAGGACCTATAATAATTTATCTCAAAGTCAAATGTACAGTTGCTTTGTCTAGTTTTCCTCTAAGGCAAGAAAAAAAAAGTAATAATGACTCCAAAGTAGGTTTACCTATATTTTTTAAGTTAAATGACTAAATGCATCTCAATTAAGATTCTGCCAGTAAGGCTAAAGAAATGTTTTATATGTGTCTGAACTTCTTGTATCATAGTGACTAATCATTATTAGAATAAGAAATGTCAGTATAATTTTAAAGGGCCAGAATCACTAAATGGAACTGTATTTTATTGATAGTGACCATATTCTTCATGTAAAATTTAACTGATTCATTTAAATTTCATTGACTGTTAATGGAGATTTCACTTACCATTGGGTTTTTAAAGAATTCATATTTGGCATAATTTTTTCTAAAGTACAGCTTATTTTCTTCTTCCATTCCCCAGTTAGACAGCACTTCAATCACCAGCTCATGGTCTTCTAGTGTTCTTTCTGTGAATAATGCTTCAGTGAATATGTTAACAGATAAACAGATACAAACACAAATAACTGTACAAACGTTTAGAATAGATTTTGTATACATGTCTCATATGCATAGAAAATTTCAACTCAATTCCTTACTATCCAGATTGATAAAAATTTCTCATCAATTTTGAATTAGTAATTCAATTTTTATACCAAAGCAGTCATCTGAAAAGAAAAATTACATATCACAATGTACATTTTGCTAATTCTCGATTTCCTTTTATTGCTATGCAAATTATGATATAAATTTAATAACAAATCTGCATTAAGATACAAGAGCTATTCTTCCTCCAACTCATCATGGTGCCAAAATTAAAATATTTGTTTCAGGGTTGAACAATTCACCTCATTAAGGGATGAAGAATTTTGACAGTTTCAACACACATTTAGGAGGCATAATCTGGGTAGATGAGAAAAAAATTAAAATAGATGCCTTAAAAAGAAAATGTTAATGAAAAGTAAATACAGATTTTTTAAGAACCTCAATTCCTTATGGTACTTTGTACTTTCAAAACTAATATTAAGGAAAATATATATTGTATTAACAATAAAGATAATTAGGTAAGGGGGGAAAGCACTGGGTAGAAAAGACACTTGAATGATTGAAGCAATGGCAACTTAAGTAGGTAAGACATAATATCAAATTCCTATTTCAATAAGAAACTGTAATGATGTTCATAATAGTATTATTTATAATAGCCTCAAATTGAAAGTTACCGGAAAGTCTAGTGACTTGCATATGAATATGATGTGAAAATAAATAAGTTGTATAAAAGCATTCCCAGAAACGTGGATTAATTTCAGAAACATTAAGTGAAAGAAGTCAGACACAAATAGTACATGCTGCATGATTCCACTTATGTATATTCAAAACAGGAAAAATTATGCTATGGTGCCAGAAATGCGAACAATGCTGATACAGGATAAATGAGGCATGCAGGGAACCACTGGAGTAAGGTCAGTGCTGTGTTTCTTGATCTGGGTGTTGATTACCTAGCTACATGGCACTCTCTGAGAAGTCACAGAGTTATCCACATTAGCTTTGCTCACTTTTCTTGATGTGTGTCATAACTCCATAAAACATTGGGGGAAAAAAAGTAACTGTAAAATTATTAATGCAAAAGAGGAAACGGAGAACAGCCAACAAAAGAATAAGAGATTCTCTGCTTTTTTAGTATTTCTAGGACCTTTTTGAAAAGTATCTATGCCTCAGAAATTCAACGCTCAGTAGTGATCTGTGACCTACTGCACCTGAACCCTTGAAAGTAATGTCATCCTTAAATAGAAGCTTATTCATCTGAAAAGAAGTTCTTGACAGAGTACTCAATGAATATGGATGAGTTTGAGTTAAGTGTATATCAACACTCTTGGTTCTGTTCTTAACTCTGATTGCTCCTTTTCTGTCTCATTGACAGGCTCCCTTCACTGCTTCTCTTTCCTACGACTTGACTTAGTCCTTCACTCAATACCTTCCTTTGTCCTTCCTCAAACTAATTCACTCCCTCCCCTTTTTCATCACATCTGGGAGGTTCCTTGAACTGGAATCTCTGCCCAGAAGTACCTTCAACAAAGGTCCAGTCCTACCTACTGACACTCTCCACCAACTCAAGCACAGTTCACCTGAAATGAAAGTCAGTACGGTGGTTCTTCAAAATAGTAAACATGGAATTGCCATATGATACAGCAATTCCAGTTCTGGGTGAGTACCTCAAAGAAGTCAAAGCAGAGATTTAAAGATATTCATACAACAATGTTCACAGAAGCACAATCCATAAGAGCCCAAAGGCTAAAGCAACCCAATGTTCATCAAGAGATGAATACATAAACACAATGGAATAGTCACTTTAAAAAAGGGAGTGAAGTTCTGACATATGCTACATCATGGAGAACCTCAACGTTACTATGATAAGTGAAATACTACAATCAGAAAAGGTCAAATACTGTAATGATACCACTTACACAAGACACCTAGAATAGCCAAAGTCATAAAGACAGAAAGTAGAATGGAGATTGCCAGGAACTGGGGGTGAGGGGGACAAGGAGTTATTGTTGACTTGGTATAGAGTTTCATTATGGGAAGATAAAATGTTCTAAAGATAAATGGTGGTGATCATTGCATGACAACATAAATGAATTTAATGCTGCTGAACTGCACATTTAAAAATAGTTAAAATGGTAAATTTTATGTTATACACATTACATAATTTTTAAAAACACCTTAAAACAAAATAAATTCATCTTTCTTTTTATATCTTAGATTTTTATCCACTATGGTAAGTGTTATTTTTACCACATTCTCTCAAGAAATGTAGAATTAAGTCACACTTGCATTTTTCTCAAATATCCTTTACTCCTGATATCGCCAGCTACCAGGTGTTCTTACTCCAAGTGTCACTCATAACCAACTACACACACACACACACACACACACACCACACACAAGCTTTTCCGCCATGACTGCTATTGTGTGGACCTTCATTTTTTTCTTGTAAAGCCTCTTATCTCCAAATTTCTTCCAATCCAACCTGAACACTGTTATCACAGCAACTTCTTGCCTCCCAAGATAGTTGTGTGAATGTGAATCCTGCTTAAAAAATTTGTCTGCTTCTACTTGTTACAAGATAAACCAACATAGTTTGGTAGCTGTAAGTTATTCATCCATTCAATGAACAAAGATTTACTAAAGGCCTGCAATTTATCAGGAACTCCTCTTAGAGCTGAGATTTTTATAGTGGATAAGTCAGTAAGAAATAATTGCCTTCATGAGGCTTTGGGGAAGAAACAGATGATAAATAAAGGTAAATCTTAAAAAGGTGACAATAAACTCTACAGAGAAAAATGGAGCATGGAAGAAAGTGCTAGTGCTAACTAGAAAAGGATGAAAGGAATCCATTCCCAATAGCTTGCCACAGAAGGGCTTATTGAGAAGGGAGTCCTTAAACAAGACCCAAGGAGAAGAGAGCATGAGCCCAGGGGATACTTAGAGGAAGAAGAACAAAGCCACTGAGATGAGACCAAGGCTGGTATTTCTGGAACTTGTCAAGGAGGTTAATGCTGAGTAAGCACAGGGGACAATACAGGAGGAGAGGCCAGAGAAATAATGGAGATGAGATGGGAGGCTGTATCGGGCCCTGCAGACCTTAGTAAGGACTCAGCTTTTCCTCTGAATTATGTGAGAAATCATGCTGAACACAGGGAAAACCTGAGCTGACATGTTTTAACTGGATCATACTCTCTACTGAGTGAAGAAGTGACTTTAAAAATTGTAAGGTTGAAAACACAAAGTCTATTTCATAGGCTACTTCAATGAACCCAGAGTGAGGGTGTGGCTTAGATGAACATAACAACAGTCAATTTTGTAAAAAACAAACAAATAACAACAACAAAAAAAAAATAGGCAGACTCTGGATCTATTTTGAAGATGGAGCCAACAGAATTTGCTGGAAAATAAAATAGGAGTGAAAAAAAATGTACTTAAGGAAGACACCAGGTTCTGGGTATAAGCACTCTGAAGAGCTGTATTATCAAGACATCAGACGGGAAGTTGCATCCTTAACAGTCTTCCAATCCCCACTTGACTCTATTTCTCACACAAACCCTGCTGGGATTTTAAAGTTTATGAAACACAGGTATGCACTAGTAAGTACTGTAAGTGCTGGAAACTGTATCTCTGATCCTTGCAACTACACTGAGAGAATGTCCAGGAAGGAATCAAGATGCTAGCTTGTTTGCTTTGCAGACCTGTTTCTTTGCATCCATTTCTATCCCACCAAGGAAATATCTATGTTATGTCTTCAACATACACTTTAAAGAAAGGAAAAAATGACAAAGAGGCATTTTTTCTTGGTTTTTGAGCTTCAAAGTAGACTTTATTGATATTTGGCAAATATAACTGCTTAGAGAGAATAAGAGCAAGGCCAATTCTCCGTTTTCTCTTACAGGGATGCACCCTCTGCTTCCTGGGAAAGAAACTAGGACAAAGAAATTTACAGGAGATGGGGTGAAAGAAAAAAATAGAGATAGACAGTACCTGTATGGTGCTAGTCCCAAGTGACTCTATATCCTGCCCCTTTCCAGCACTAGAACGATTTTTGGTTTTTAAAAGGCCAATAGATTTAAACATGTGGTGTGGCTCAAACCATAGTCTAAAGAATATATTCTCAAAGGGCTGAGGATGTAGCTCAGTGGTAGAAGGTTTACCTAGCACATGTGATGCCTGGTAGGTTCAGTGTACACCAGCACAGAACAAAACAAAACAACTCTCCTCAAGAAGCCCTGCATCTAGCACAGCGAGAAGCAATTGTTGAGTCAATGTTAGGTCTAATCAAAAAGCATGGTCATCTCAAGTGCCCCAGAGGGGAGGGAACACAGAGAGCTAAGAAAAGGCCATGAATATAAGGGTCTTTATGCTTCAGGCAGTAACCTTGGAAGGAGCAAGAGTTTCCAGAACAAAAAAGAATTGGATAACAATCAGACAAGTACCTCGTTTGGGACTTACTTGCCCTACCACAATGTCAGAAATGTGAAGGTGGGTCTCAATGTTCAACTCAGAACATTTTAGACCTGTATGCAACTCACTGATAGAATCTAAATTATTTACTCCAACAAGTCTAGAGAGTGAGCAAACAACAGAAAAACTAAATTGTCTGCAAGGGCAGGAGAATCAGAGTGCAAAATTAGTTCCACTTTGTGAAATAAAAGTTGCATTTTGGCACGTCTCAGTCTGAGAGCTGTTTCACTGCTATATTTGATTCTTATAATACTTTTAAGTACATGAATAGTGGCCCTAAAGATATCACATCCTAATTCATGGAACCTGTAATTGTTACCTTACATGGCAAAGCTTTTGCAGATGTCATTCAGGGCTTTGAGTTGGGGAGAATATTCTGGATCAATCAGGTGGGCCCTAAACCGAACCAGAAGCATCCTTTTAAGGTACAAGCAGAGGAGAATAAACACAGACAGAA